AGCAAGAATGCCCCTTAGGAGATAAGACTTCATATTGCATACTGTAGACATGCTATTAGGAGAGACTAGTCCTTGAAAAAAGGCTTTATGTTTGTTACCTCTACTTTAAAGTAGGGGGTCATCGAAAACAAGGAAAACACTCAAGGAGATGGATCGACAGAATGGTTCCAACGATGGGCTCAAACCTACTGACAATCCGGAGGCTCTACAGGCAGTGTTTTTCCTAGTAGAGAGGATCACTATGAGTTAAAACCAACTTGATACAACTTAATAACTTAGGAAGAGTTGCACAGGCAAGAGATATGGCTAGTTACACACCACACATGTCTATTTTCTAGCAATAAAATAACAAGAACAGAGAAGTGCAGAGTGGGGCTCTTCACAACTCACTCCCTGAGAAATAACTAATGCTAAGATGTCACAATCCAAGACATTTCTAGGCATTTTACACTAATTTCATACACATTTCTAACATGCTATAAATGCTACAATTTTATTTGTTTTTCACCTTATTTGTTTAAAACTCCTTTATTTTAGGCACATACATCCTACATATTTATTTATACTAAATCAAAACATTTTGTTGTTGACATTATTAGGTGCCCTCAGTAGGTTCTGAACCATAGTGCCCTTAGGCACAACAGAAGTTAACCCTGCCTGGCCCTGTCGCATCATCACAATTGTTCCTGTACCTGAGCCGATTGTGGAAGCCAGGGTGTCAGTCCATCACATCGCCTTGAGGGGCTTTCTCTTTTTGCTCCCTTATTCCTCACCTAACATGTTGCCCTTCTCCAGGGACTGCCTCTCCAAACGACGTGGCCAAAGTACGTTAGATGAGTCTCACCATTCATTCTTCCCTCTAAGAAGCACTCTAAGTGTATCCCTCTAAGGCAGATAGGTTGTCCTTTTAGCAGGCCATGGTACCTTCAATATTCTTCTCCAGCATCAAAATTCAAATGCATCAATTCCTCTTAGGTCTTCTTGATTCAACGTCCATATTTCACAAGCATATGAGGGAATGAATACCATTGTTTGGGTCAGGAGCACCTTTATCTTCGATGTAACATCTATGCTTTTCAATCCCCTGAATCAGTCTTATGCAGCAGATACACTCAATGCAAAATGTCTTTTGATTTCTTGACTGCTGCTTCCATGAGTACAGATTGTGGACCAAGCAAGAAGAAATCCTCAACTCCAACGTTTTCTCCATTTATCCTAGTGCTACCTACTGGTCCAGTGGTGAGTCTTTGTGTCTTCTTTACACTGAGCCTTCATCCACACTTAAGGCTGCAATCCTTGATCTTCATCAAGTGCTTCAAGTCCTCCTCACTTTCGGCAAACAAGGTTGTGTCATCTGAATATTGCAGGTTAGTAATAGGCCTTCTTCCAATCCTGATGCCTCATCCTTCTCCATATAATCCAGAGTCTCTGATTAGTTGTTCAGCTAATACATTATATGTGCATACAACCCCTAAATACGTTTTATTTTATTTTTGGAATTTTGAAATATTTCCCGTGTTTCAATGGTATATATATATTTTAAAAGTTATTGTCACTAACATTATTTAAAGTACATTTCCATGGTTATAGACATGTTTTTGAAGGCAAATTTTCTAGCATGAGAATTCTTTACTATATTATCACAATATCTTCTGAATGACACCTATTGTAAAATAGGCATGGATCCATTTTCTGGTACTCTCAGGCGCACATAACCACAACTTCCATCTTCACCATGGAGTGAAAGAGAGCACCTTGTTT